TCGCTTGTGCAGTTGCTTAGTGTGCACTGTGTTGAGTTGGCCACCCTTCCTCCCTCCCTCTCTCCCCCCCTCCTTCTGTTTTCCCCTCCTTCTCTCCTTCCTTCTTTCATTTATTTTATTTAGCTTAGATTCTGTTCCTCCCTTCTCCCCCGTCATTTGCTGACCAGCAGCACACACACACCAGCAACAGCAGAAACCAGGGCCAGCTATTAGGGGATGGGGTTGCTTGGGGAGCCTGAGAAACTACCAGGCAGAGTCTGGTATCTAGAAGGCGGTTCAGCCCAGCTCCATTGCTTATTGTCTCAGTCAGTTTGGGCTGCTTTAACAGATACCATAGACTGGCTGGCTTAAACAACAGACATTTATTTCTGACAGTTCTAGAGGCTGGGAAGTCCAAGATCAAGACAATGGCAGATTTGGTTGTTGGTGAGGGCCCTGGTTTAGACACTGCTGCTTTCTTGATGTATCCTCACAAGGCACAGAGAATGAGCTCTGATCCATTTTTCCCTTTATCTTAAGGGCTCCGTCTCATCACGGGTCCCCCATTCTCATGACCCCATCCGAGCTCAATTACTGACGAAAGGCTCCATCTCTAATACCATCACATTGGGAACTAGGACTTCAGTGATGAATTGGAGTGAGGTGGCAAACATTTAGTCTATAGCACTTATTAATACAAAGGCGTTTGAATATTTTCACCGAGTCCAGACTCTCTCTGAGTGCCCTTGGGGGACCAGCAACTGGATGCTCTTGGCTCCCTGAGGTGGCAGAGGGGGGAGAGGTGCTGCAGCTCCAAGCCTCCAGCCCTGTGTCCCCTTCCTTCCAATATGGGCTTAAATAGCTGTGAATTTTCTGGGATTCCAGGCAAGCAGGACAGACTGTGCCTTTCTGCCCAAGTGTCTATGTGTGTTTATTTAAGAGAAAGTGTGAAGGCCAGAGAGCAAACAAAGGGCCAGAGTGCGGGAGAAAGCAGGCTTATGTGTGCACAGGCAGGTGGGCAGGTCTGATTGACAAGATCAGAACAGAGCTCCTGGATTCAATCAGTCTCCCTCACCCTAGCGAACAATTCTGAGAGGCAATTAAGTGAGAGTGGAAGGAGGACTGGTGAGGGAAGCCAAGATGGGGTGTTTGGGGAGGGCTCCCACATGATCTGGCCCAGGGCCCTGGCCATAACCCTTCCTTGCCATTCCTGAGATCAGAGATTAGGACATGGAGGAGTGTCACAAGATTATATCCGGGGCCCGCAAAGCCTCTGCGCCTCTGTCCTGGGAAGCTCTGACCCAGACCACAAGGTATGGCCAGTGAAGTTCAGGTGGGGGCAGTCCTCTCCTGGCACACAGTATGTGCTTCTAACGTGGCCGATGTTCTGGCCCCTCATGCAGGGGCTTTGGCTTTTTTTCCTGCCGCATCCACCCTGATGGGGACTTGGTGAGTTCTAGGGAATGGGCAGCACAGTTGAGCATCTCTCCCTGGTGTCCTGCGCTGCACTGCAGATGGAAGTCAGGAAGGAGTTCTGGAGGGATGGTTATAGGATTGCAGTGTTGCCTTTCATTGGCTGCATTCTCTGATCTCTCCTCCTGGAGTTCACAAGGTACAGGGGAGGAAGGGCTGCCGACCTGCATGGGTCAGAGACAACACTCTGGGCGGGAGAGCCTTGGGCACTGATTCTCTGCCATCTGCAACTCTCATTCTGAATGGGAGCTGGGCAGCAGTTGCCTTCTGGAAGCTTCATCTGTAGCCCATGATTCACAGAGGGAACCAGCGGAAGAGTGGGGATGGCTAGTGCTGGGTACTCCACTTCAGGACTGAGGCAGCAAAGCAGTTCCAGGGACTCCCCGGGTCCCCTGCCCTGGAAATCAGTGGAGACACCCTTGGTTTTGAAGAGGCACGAGCCTGTCACGCGTGCTCCGGATGCAGGCAACCTACCCTTGTCCTATTTATTTGTGTTACTTTCCTGATGAAAATGTAAGCTTCCCGAGAGCAAGAACTTCTTCTTCTTCTTTTTAAACCCTCTGTCTCCCTACCACTTAGAAGATTGCTGGGCACAAAGCAGGTTTCAATAAAAATAATCCACCAAATGAAGGCATGAATCAGGGGGTATTATTATTCTATTCCAGCGCCGTTTTACAAATGATGAAACTGAGATAAAGATGGGTTCATGAAGTCACCCCTCAGTATCCCTCCTAGCCTTAGGCTTTTGGGGAAGGTGTGCTAACCAACAACTGTTACTCCCTGGAAGTTCTTCTACTAGTCTGACTTGCTTCCTTCCTAATACAAGTATGGCTCATTTCCGCCAGTGAAGTTCAGCTGAGAAACACTCATCTGGAGTCCCTTCTGGAAGTGAAGTGAACATTTCCAGATGAGGCTGCCGCCTTGGAGGGAGGGTCCTCACCCCTCACTGGAAAGTTATCCGTTGTAACAAGAACTGCTTCCACTGTACATCTGCCTTTTGCTGCGTGAAGGAGGAGGGGCGCCTTTAGATTACCTTAGCTATAGATCTCACAATTACTTTCCCTCTCTCTAATTTGGATGTTAATGTATTAGCTACAGCTTTGCCTTCTAGGCTAGAAATTGTTTCTTTCCCCCGCCCTGAAATTATACATCCAGATAGAGTAGTGTTCATTAAAGTAAGATTAGGAGAGGATAATATGTGAGAGGTATGTAATCTTTTGCAAATGGTTAGTAAATTGGAACTACCCCAATTACAATCTTGTTCATCACACAAGGCTGAATTACTCTGCCTGGGACGGGAGTCTCAGCCACAGCTCTGCTCAGCTCACATTTCATAAATATTGTATACACATGATATTCTCAGCCATCTGCTTCACTGGTTGCTGGGCACGTTTTCTGGCTTTCTGGTTGACTGCAGGGAGTGACAGGGCAGGGCGGCCATCCTGTGTGTTTCCCTCAGAGCCCAGTGAGGCTGGCCTTGTCCTGGGGCTCTCCTGACACCATATGCCCCAGGATCAATGCCATGGACACACACCAGCCTCGATGGCATCCTCTGCCCACACTAAGGCCTTGCTGCAGCCCCCAGGGGCTTCCCAAGCAGGGACCAGGGAGGTGTGCCCTGAAGGGCCCATCTCTAGGAGGGACTTGGAAGCCAACAGAAGTGACTTAAAGAACATGCATCACTCCCTGGCTCAGGGAGGCTGGGAACTGGGTGCTGCCCAGGGTTAGCTGTGAGGTTCTGCCTCTCATGGGAAGATGGTCTGAAAGCGTGGAGAGTGAACCCTGCTTCTTAGAGGTGTCCTGCTCAGCATCAGTGGTTGGGTCCATCTCTTCCTCTTACTCCTTGGGTCTGACCAGAGCAGCTCTCTCTGACCACTTTGTTTCCCTAAAATCTCATTTCTTTCCAAGAGGCAATGAAAGATAGTGATTAAGAGGGAGGACCTTGGACTCAGAGTGTCTGGGTTTAAATCCCTCCCTGCTATTTACCAGTTGTGTGGTCCTGAGCAAAAAGTTTAGCCACTTTGTGCTTGGGTTTCCCCATCTGTAAAATGGGTAGTAATAGTATCTGTCCCATAGGACTGTGATGAGTTAATACTTAGAACAGTACCTGGCATACAGTAAATGCTCAGTAAAGGTTTGTCATTATTTTACTGCAAAGGTATTTTGGCTTTCTTCCTGTAGATTGCAGCAACCCCAGAAGAGAATGTGACAGAGAACTTGTGCTAGATGTGAGCTCTAAGCAGGAGGAAACCAGACAAAGAGAAAGGGCTGGATCATTTTAAGTGTTAACAGTGTGCTCAGCACCATGTTTAACAGAGGTTATTTTATGCCATTCTCACAGTTTTTTGAAGCATATATATTATTATGCCCACTGTGCAGATGAGGAAGGTAAGGCTCAAAGCTTTTTGAAAAGCAGATTTCCTGCTGCTGCCTTGTTTAAAATTTCCAGCTTGCCATTTGTTTTAGGATAAAATCCCAAATCTTTAACCTATCCCGTACACTCCTCCATAATCTGATTCCAGCCCACCCTCCCGTTCACCCCTGGTCAGTCTCGGCACTCCTGTCTGATCGGCTGTTCATCAACCTCCTACACCCTCCCACTTCCGAGTCTTCACACAGGCTGTTTCTTCTGCTTGAACCTGACTTCTCCTTCCTTTTTTTGCCTAGACAATTCGTGTTCATCCCTCAGGTCTGAATACTTCTCCAGAGAAGTCTTCCTCAAACTGTCAAACTTCATCACTCCCATCCCCACCTCCAAGATTAGAGGAGGCTCCACTCATATATGCTTTCACAGTAACCTGTGTCTTCTTCATAGCACCTCTTACAACCGTCATGAAATGCTCAACTGTGTGTGTTGTTTGTCTTACTAGACTGCAAGCCCCATCAGGACAGTGTCTGTGTCAGTCAGGAGAGACTGGGCTCGGCAGTGGAAACATAAATCCCAACCCTTATGTTTCTCCCTTATGTAACGTGTCTCGTGGTGTTGAGCAAAGGCTCCACTCCACCTTGTCACCTAGAGATCTAGGACAGTGGAGGCCTCAGCACCTTGTGGCTGCACTATGTGGAACACTGGCCTTTTCAGTGGCTGCAACAAGGCAAGAGAAACATTGGAGAATCATATGTGCATAGGTCAAATACAGGCACAGCACAGAACGGGGGCACACACACTCTGCCCAACTGCAAGGGGGCTGGGACCTACAAGAAGAGCAGGTGGATTATTTGATCTGCATAGGATCTTAACCAACGTGTTCCCTGTGTGTTCTCCGTGCCTAGCACATTGCGTGGTACATAGTAGGAGCCCCAAAATATCAGCTGAATGAATGAGCGTGTCAGTGTAAGTCTATCAAGATCACTGTAGCCAGCACATGGTGATGGGGCTGGGCTTTGGACCACGATCCTCCTATTTGCAAAATCTTTGGGCTTTGCACTCTATCATCTTGTTGTCGCCCCTGATTTATGGAATGCTTTTTCTCTCTCCATGTAGAGAACAGAATATCATGCATTTAGCCACTTAATAGATTTGCTTTTCCTGATGAAGGTGATGAAAGTTGCATGTCCTCCAATCAGCCTTGCAATCAGCCATTCATCCACTCACCCAAGACAAGTGGCAATTCAAAAGCAGCTAACGTTTCTTAAGTGCCTACTGTGTGCCAAGTGTGTGATTCCAGCTAAGGCACACAAAAGCTCAGTGAGGTGAGCGCTGTGTTTCCTGCTTTGCAAATGAAGACACTGACACTGGGAGTGAAGCCTAGACCCAGATGCAGACCTGCTGGCTGAAGTCCAGCGCTCTTCCCCCAGAGCAGTCAGTGGCTCTTACAGGAGAGCAGGCATCAGAATCACCTAGAGGACCAGAGGAAGTGCAGATGGCTGGGCCTCGCCCTAGTTTTCATTCAATAGAAGCAGGGGAGGTGGTGAGGGGGCCTGAGAATCTGCATTTTTAATGCACTCTCAGGTAACACCAGGTGACAGCTCCAGTACCTTTATTCTGAGAATGGCTTCCCTATAGCGTGCTGTGTGGAAAGGGTGAGGAGCGCTTCCTCTGTTAACTTCGTTCTGGTGTCATGCCCGGAGGAGCATGGGGGTCAGGAACATAACATCTCGGGTGGTTGGTATTTGGTCCTTCTCTGTGAGGCTGCCTGCAATAGAAGTCTGTAAAATGAAGGGGTTGGACGGGATGAGCTGTGGGGTGCTCTGCAGATCTGACACCCTGTGTTCTGTGATTGGATGAGCTAAACCAAAGCTACAGATTCCATTTAAGTCTCTTCCTATGTGGGAAGTGCTATAGACTAAAAACTGTGTAACAGTAAATACCCAGGGAAGTCAAGGAGTTATTGAGTAGCCACTGTGTGCTCAGCATACTGGAGGGCTGTGGGGAATCCAAGACAAGTGTAAGATATGACCCTGCTACTCCAGGCACCAACAGCCTGGTTGTGGAGACAAAACACACACTTGAGACCATGATAGTTTCAGGATATAACCAAGTGCTCATTGGTGTGAATCTGGTGAGGAGCTACCTGCGGGGTTTAGGGAGCCCCAGGGGGGAGGTAAGACTCCTGGAACCTAGGAATTTGAAAACCTATAGCTAACATTTGTGTATAGCACAGTATTTTAGCCCACATGAGCTCCACAGCATGGCATGAGGTGAATATCTTGAAGATGAAGAAGCAGACTCAGAGACTTGCCCAAAGTCAACTTTTATTAAGTAAAGAAATTGGGATTTGAACCCCACCCTGCTGATAACAGAGCCCTTGCTCTGCAAATGGCTCAGGAGGTGAAGCAAGGGAGATGGGAGGTGCTAGCAAAGACGTGGCAGGTGCATCCCATCCAGGCCATGTGGAGAGCCTTGGGTGAGATGAGGTGGCAGAGAGGTTGGGTGAGCAAAGTGAATGTCAACTTGATATATCTGAAAAGCAGCCCTGGGGGCCCTGAGTACAATGAAAATACTAACAATCATGGAATGGGCACAAGGAGTGTTTTATTAGGGTTGGTTCAAAAGTAATTGTGGTTTTTGTCATTAAAGAAAAAGCAACGGCAAAAACCTCAACTACTTTTGCATCAACCTAAGACATCTCTAACACGTTCGTCTCATCCAGGGATGTTTGTGGGGAGTGGCCAGGGCTCGGATACGTCAGTGCACAGTAGCAGACTTACGCCAGATCCTGGAGGCTCTGAGTCTCTGCCACATCTCTCCAGGCCATTGATGGTCCAGACATCTTTGTGTGAATTAGAAAAAAAGATATCCCTTCCTCCAAGAAGTTGCAACTCTGGCCGGGTGTGGTGGCTCACTCCTGTAATCCCAGCACTTTGGGAGGCCGAGGCGGGTGGATCACCTGAGGTCAGGAGTTCAAGACCAGCCTGAAACTCTGTCTCTACTAAAAATAGAAAAATATTAGCTGGGTGTGGCGGTGGGCACCTGTAATCCCAGCTACTCGGGAAGTTGAGGCAGGAGAATGACTTGAACCCAGGAGGCGGAGGTTTCAGTGAGCTGAGATCTTGCCACTGCACTCCAGCCTGGGCAGCAAGAGCGAAACTCTGTTTCAAAAAAACAAACAACAAAAAAAGAAGTTGCAACTCCATGTCAGGACAGAAAGCTTGGCTAGAGGGTAGGCTGGATCCCTGTCCCCATCCATCCCCACATGCTCTTTTATCTTATAGCCTGGTCAACGCCTAAATCTGTACCACTGCATCTTGTAGGCTTGCGTCCCTCCCACCGTGTGTGCATGCACGGCACCCCCCCCACACACACACACACGTGTGCATAAACCAACACCCTCTCCTTGCCCCAGGGAATTCTTTACTTGTGGGGTGGGGGATACCAGAAACCTCTGTGACTTCAACCCATTTCATTTCCTTCCTCCTTCCCAGCAGACTTTTTAACAGAATTTCTTCTAAGAAGGTTTGCTGGCCAGGCTGGAAGCAGCAACTAGAATGAAATCCACAAGGTCAGGGAGAAGCAGAGCAGGTGACGCTGTATCTATCTGACTCTAGGGATACAGTAACAAAGGAGATGGTGCAGAGAGGCACCAAGTCAAGGGCAGATGAGGCTTGGGAGGCTCTCCCTTCCCCCATCAGACTGTTAACATGGAATACAAAGCTCAAGTCTTTATTACCGAAAAAAGAAAAAGTAGCAGCAGGAGAAGAGCGGGAGGCGGTAAGAGGGGAGAGAAGAGGGAGCCACATGCTGAAATCAATACTGCCCAGGACAAGCATTATCCCATGTGGAACACCTCAAGCCTCTGCCTAGAAAATTTGATTGGATCTTCAGAAAAACCTATTAGTGTGTTGTCAGGACCTTCTGGTGATAACTGACCAGCCCTTGCCAATCGATGCTCTTCACTTGTGGAGCTCCTGATTTTTTAACAGCATAATTGTTTTTTTAATAACGGGCTGGCTCACCCACTCCAGCAAGCAGGGAGTCAAAGTCAGACTCCTAACTTAAAATATAGAGAAACGCGATGCTCCAGCCACTTCTTCCTAATTGCACAATTACTTTATGGAGCACCAGGGATGGAAGGCTGCAGTGGGGGTGCGTTTTTTTTTTTTTTTTTTCAGCCAAGCGAGGTTGTTACGTCACAGAAGTAATTACACATGTCAAAATTATTTACTAAATGAAAGCCATTCTTCACCAAGGAGTCTTTATTTATTTTTTATAAAGAAAAAGGGCAAAAAGAAGATGATCCCAGGACGGCGACGACATCATAAAGCAACAATGGAATTAGTCGTCAATTATTACAGCTTTTTAATTTTCAACTCAAGAGGGAGCAACGCATATTTTCCTTAGGGTTTTAAGTGCTCTACAACAACAGCAGTATTTTTGCTCTTTACCGTGCCTAGGATCTGAGATGTCAAAGTACTTTACAAATAACTTTGGGATTGAGGCTCTGTACAGCTGGAGAGCAGGGCCCAGGGAGGAAGCGATTTGCCCAAGGTCATGGCTGAATCAGAGGCACAGCTGGAAACACTACTCATGAATACTGGCTCCTGGAGTCAGAGCTCATCACCACCAGCCTGCCCACCTCCCACACACACCAAAACAAAACCCCTAAGCCAGAAAACAGCAGCGGGCAGAGAAGTCGCCTGCTCTTCACAGCCCAGGGTGTTCACACTGACAATTTGCTGTACAGATTGGAAGCTGGGTGTACAGGTCAGAGATCTCTACAGATTGCCGTTGCTGGACCCAGGAGAATCAGTCACTAAGGAAAGCTAAAAGTTCACTCTGCATAGTTGGGTAGCTCAGCTTTCCATCCTGAGCCCCCAGGTGTATATGTCAGATTCTGGTCTTCCGGGAGGGGTTGACGGCTCATGCGACAGTTCACTCTGCCCACCTGGCAGGTCTGGTTCTTTTCTGGGTTGGCTCCCTCCAGAACTTGCTCTACATGCCCAGAGCTGGAGTCCAAGATTCAGAGAAGAGAGAGCGAGAAAGAGAGGGAGAGAAAGAGGAAAAGAAAAGAAAAGAAGGAAGACAGAGGAGAGACTGTTTGGAAGCCTGTGCAGTCCCTAGAACCTCTTTTTATGAAGACTCCATTCCACACTGTGTTACATATATTAGGATCCCACATTGAGTACAGTTTCTGATTATTTACCAGTTCAGTTAGGCTGAAGTTTGCTGGTGACATTATTATGGTTTTGTAGATATTTAATTAAACAATTAATACATTTGATTTTATAGTTTTCTGGCCTTCCCTGGATTTTAGAGCCCATATATATATATATATATATATAAATTTTTTTTTTCTTTCCAGGTATCAAGTATGTTCACAGGCTCTTGAAATGTTTCTAGGGCACAGGCAGTATGCTTTCTGACCTTAATGGAGAAAACGGCTTAGAGAGGTAGGAGAAGGGAGACGTGGGGAAAAAATGATGTCGACGATGACAGAGCAAGAAACAACATTTTAAAAACCAAACCCAAACAAAAATTTAACAAAGCATACAGAGGAAGTTCTCAAAACTTTAGAATTGCTGGTTAGAAAGAAAAAGGAAACCCAGGCCTTACCAAGATATTTCTAAGAAAGAGACAGACACTTGAAAGACCCATCCAACCAGGGATGAAAAAAAAAATCTCTTATTATTCAATAATTTATTGAGCACAGGGCCAGATACTGCACTTGGCTTCGGAGATATGGAGCTGGATCAGATACAGTCTCTACTCTCAAGGAATTTACTGTTTTTATTGAGGGAGACAGAAAGGTAAACAAACAGTTCAGATATGTGATAAGGACACAAATTGAGGTAAGCATGAGGAATTGAAAAAGCACAGAGAAGCAACCTGAAGGAGGCAGAGACATTCTCAAAAGGAGGAGGACACCCCCTGAATATTCAAAGGCACAGAGGTGGGATAGGATAGGGGCCAGGGGCCACGGGCAGTGGAGGATCTCAGGGTAACACTGAAAGGCCGAACCGAATCGAAGGCAGATTGTGAGGATTTGGATTTAGTCTGCAGTCAAAGGTGAACCAAGAGTGGCTCCCCAGCAAGGGAGGGATGGTGAGGGGCCTGGGGGAGGAGGAAGGGAAGCCAGACCAGAGGCTGCCACATTCCTTCATTTGAAGGTAAAGGGCCTGGACCAGGTGAGTGACAGGGAAATGATGCATTCGAGTCAAGTTTGAGAGTATTTAGGGGCAATGGGCAGGAACTGGAAACCAGTAGAGGCAAATAACCCAGGTTTTTAGTTTGGTAGACTGATTAAACTGAGATGGAATATAAAGGAAGCAGTAGGCTTGGAGGAAGCTTTTCATTTCCCCAACCTTCAGGATCCTAGAGCAGGTGCCATGCTAAGGGGGATGATGTCCCAAAGATTCCCCTGAAAAGTTGCCAGGGAAAGCCAGCAAACAAGGGGTGTAGGGAAACAAAGTCCTGATAGGTTACGATTTTCCTTTCGGGCCCCTCTATCCAAGACAGAAACACAGCTCTAGGGGCCCAACACTAGAAATCTGTTCATTCTGCCACAGAAGAAAGGGGCGTGAAGCGAATAGAGACAGAGAGGGGACATGATAGATACCGCTAAGGCCATGTGGAGCGCAGGGCGGAGGCTCTGCTGTGATTCATGGTTGAAGGGAGTTTACTGGAAGTTAGCTAATAAAAGCTCCCAGCTATACTCAGGGATCTGTGTTCTCCCTGGCTGGCAACACACTCTACATAATACCTGGTGCAGTGGCAGAGTCGAATGGAGACACAAATATCTATCCATCACACCAAATTCATTGGGTTAAACTCCCATCACCCGGAGCTGACCCTTTCCTACCGGAGGAAGTAATGAGCTAGAAATAAGTGCTTATCTGAAGCTGAGTCGAAGTAAATCTGCAATCACGGACATTTCAAATGGTAGCTTCCTTCGGTTTGGGCTTTTCAAACAGATGGAGACTCTAGCATGAAATTGCCAAGATTAAAAAGAGAACGCTAGTTTAACACACAAGGCTGGGGAAACAGCCGGGGCCATCTACGGAGCAGGATTCCCATGTCTTGGCCAGAGACTTGCTCAGCATTCACGGGAAGCAAACAGCCCCAGAGCAAAGCAACTGGATTTCTTTCTTGGTCTTCCATGTTGGCAGAGGGAAGACAAACGAGGACACTCCGGTTTGGGGACGGCATGAATGAACCACACGTGTCCATAAATAAACCCGGAGCCCCCCAAACACGCGGCTTGCTTGTTCACACAAAAGCCAGCCTGGCAGCCCTCTCGCAGAGCCATGTTCACAGTTGGATCCTTAATGCACTGTGAGTGTTCAATCAAACTTTTAGTGGTGAAACTCTGGGAGCAGAAAGCCAGCTAAGCCCAAATGGTCCCTTTGCTTTTCCATCTTTTGTGGCTGCCTGGCTGTGCTCTTATGGGTTTTGTTGTCAACAAACTCCTGGCTTGCCTTTGAGCACTCCAAATTATTGAAAATGACTACAGCTTAAGACTGGCAGGATGATTGTTAAAAACAGCCCTGGCATTAATCATAGCTTAAGAGCTTTTGGAAAATGATTCTAATTCAGAAGGGGTGGCTTACAAAGAGCCTTGTCGAAAGCGAAGCAGACGTCAAATTCTGAAAGGCAAAAAGCCTCCTTGGTACCCACACCTGGCTTCTTCTGCAATCCAGCTGGCAGAACTGCATAGGGGGCACGGCTTACCCCACCAGCTCACCCCATCTGAGACCATCTTGAGTTTTCCGCATGAGTCCTGTATCATCCCTACCTCTGATATGGGGATCTTGAGATGGGAGAGACTTCAGGGAGCACCAGCAGTTACAGTCTTCCTGGCAGTCCTAGGACTAAGGAAGAAATGGCCTTGTTTTCTGTCAACAGTTGGAATGCCTTAGACCAGTGCTAAAATAAGCTGTGTGCATAGAGGCAGCTGCGTAGGCAAACACATGGTCAGCATTTGCAAGGAGCCAGGCAGGGCGACGAGCTAATACTTCTGCCTTTTGCCTGCCTGGCACAACAAAGGAGAATGATTTTTGCCATCAGCATTCTCCCTATCACGGAATCATTGCACAATTTAGTATGATTAATGGTTTCCATTTAGGAGAAGCTGAGAATGAAAACAGCGGGGGAGTGGTGGCACTCGCTGGGGGTGTCTGCAGCTGATACTAGAGTGAAAGGGAGAGAGAGCTGGCCATTGCCTGCCAGCCCATATCCTCCAACCTTTACTTCCAGGCACGACTGGGGAGACACAGTTGGGCAGAGACACATGGCTTTGACATGCTTTTGCAGAAACAGTCTGAAAGCTGCAAACTTGTGAGGCACTGTTTGCTGTTTCATTCTTTCAGGCTTCCCAGTATCTGTGACTGGGAAGCCACTCCCTTCTACCTGCCAAAGGGAGTGCCAATCCCAGAGGACCCTAACTAAGGGCTGGGTCTGAGAGTGGTCAGGGCACAGTGATGGAGCTAGCGGAACTAACTACACCACTTCTTAAAATTCCTGATGGCCACGCGGAGATGCCACACAGGGAAGAAGGGACCCCTCTCTTGTGCTGGGAAGGTAGGGGTGGCATCCAACATAGCCGTCTGTCTCTGGAGCGCCCAGCTGGTGGTGGACCTAGTCTCAGCGCTCATCTGGTGGCTTTCCTGGGAGTTCTTCTTCTCCCCTTGGTAGCATCCTTTTCTTTCCACTTCTGTAGACATGGCTTCTTTTCAGGTCTTACAGCTGCTGCAGGTGAGTGGTGAGACAAAGGGCACCATAGCCAGAGACTTGTGGGTGCTGATAGAAACCAACCGGGAAAACACAGAGAATTCAAGAGGGCCTGGATTTTTTTTTTTTTTTTTTTTTGCAATAGCCTTTGTAACTGAAGCCAGATAGAGAGAAAATTGGTGATCTTGGCTGGGGCTAACGTGACTCAAGGCCCTTCTCGATGCATTGGTGTCTCTGCAAGGAAATCTATTATTTTCCATAAACTGTCTTAAGCATCTCCCGGGCTACATTTCTGGCTGTGTTAAGAATCAAGCCATCAAGAACAGCTGTGAATGTTACACACTTTCAGCAGCAGCAATGGGCTTTGGCAGGGAAGTGGGAGCAAAAAACCCAAGCAGGACATTTCAGTTGACAGTAATGGCATTTTCCCTTCCTTGTCCAAACGATAAAAGATTCATGTTCCTAATTGCAACACTATAGCTGCCCCCATCACTTTATTCTGGGAGAGGAGGTTAGAGAAAACAGGCCTAGAGAGAGGGAGAGAAAGAGAAAGAGAGAGAGATGGATAGTAATTTCGTCACTAGCTAACAGAGACTGATTAGTGCAGAAGATTCCCTTCCATAGCAATACTTTCTAATCAGGTCTGCTGTGTCTGGGCAAACAGCTTTTGTGGATTAGCTAGACTTGAGCTTGCCAGCATCCACCGCAAGTTTAAACGATGAAATACACAACTACAGAGAAAACAAACCAAAAAGAGTAATAAAGCCACACATTTCAATATTCAGCAACCATTAAGGGATTTAAATATTTGCTTGCTATCAAAGGCCTGCATTAGGCTCTTCCAGCACCAGCTCTGGAAGACTGAAATATCAATTACAGATCAATTTTCCCCCTAAGTAAACACTAATGCAGGATAAACAGTATTAGAAGATGCAACAGTAACATTGCTGACTTCAGGATGGACTTCCTGCTGGTAACAGCAAGTTTAAGCCTGGTGATTAATTAACCTGAGAAGATAGCTCTTCAGGAAGATTTGAGGCGGTCATGTCTGAAATATGACTGTGAACCTGTGCACATCTGGAGGGTAGCTGAAGTCCCAGGCCCAGAGAACCGGTTGATTTGCCCCTCAGTAGTGGTCCTCACTTTCCCCAGCCCAACACTTTGAAGGATTAGGATGGAGTAAAATGGGAGGCGGAGGTGGGTGTGCATGCGTGTGAGAGAGAAAGCAGTAGGCAAGGTCAGTCCCTTGTTGAAATTAATTCCGCATTTCAATAGGCAAGGCTCGAGTTGTATTTCCCAACACTGACCACCAGGGGCAGTAGACGTTTTATGTTCATTTGGGAATGAAAAAAATCAAAAAAAGCATAAAAGACAAAACAAAGTTTCCTGTGTACTGAAGAGCCTGGGAGCTGAGGATTGGAAGACTTGAAAACAGAGAAGATTTTTGCTTTCAGGCCTCAGTTCAGGGATGCTCATGTGTAATGATGTGAGAGCGTAGTGGGGACACTGAATCGTGCAGCTCCTACTAGAGGCATATTTCAACGTTTTGAGAAA